GTAAGTGATGCTGTGGCAACATTTTCACAAACATGATTAAAAAGATCTAGAAAAGGTGCCAACGCTAAATTATCATCTTTAATGTTAATATCAATATGATCATTGTTATTTAAATAAACAGCTCTTGTATTAACAGTGTAATATCCCCAAAGAAATGCATTGAAAGTGATTATTTTATCTAAAGTCAAATTACAGTGACAGCAGACAAAATGAGATTTTTTAGCAGTTTTCATTGATTTCACCATTAAGAGATATCCAGCTTTAATTTTACTCAAAACTAAATCTGAATAAGTTTTAATAAAGTCCGGTAATGTATTTTTTTCGCTCTTCAAACAAAATTCTGGATTAGAGTAAGTCGTCGGTAAACTATCAATATACGGTTTCCATATCGAACAATCTTCCAAATGTTTCTCGTATACAATAAACGCTGCAAGAACACTTTGAGAATCGTAAATTGTATCTGGCAAAAATATATTGGATATAGAACTGTTTGAAACTGTGGTTGTAGTTATAAGAAATTGTTTCGGTAATTCTAGGAGATCTTCTCCAGCTTGAATATCTTTTAATGTCTTCAGACCTCTTCCAGTTTCCGGAAATATATAAGGCACTAAATCACATTTGAACTTTTCACTTTGAGCTAGCATCCAAGACTTTAGATTATCCGAATCTACAGTGTTAACAGAACTTTGTCTTTTGAAAAACTTTTCTTTTTTTTGCCGACGTTTTCTTTTGATACGTCCCATTTTTAATCTGCAGAATGAAAACAAGACGATTGTAAAGTAATTCGAATATTTAGTATTAAATATTTGAAGCTACTTACAATGTTAACAAACACTTGAATTTACATTGAATTCAGGTCAATGCAAATGTTTTAATTGGAACGCAAGTAACATAGGTAAACTCAATTCTGAAACATAAATAAGCTTGACTTGAATGATCGAATGTATAGACTAATTATTCTTTTATGTGTAGGGGAGAATGGTATAGCCCCGAACACTCTTCATTTGTAATATAATAATCTCTGTTTTTACTATAAAACAAATTGCAAGTGTTATATAATACAGTTTAACTTTCATTCTTTAAATATTGACTCAGTTTTTACATTTTCTTTTCATTTAAAAAACTTGAATTTTCTAAGAACCTAAAAGTGTCTGGACACTTTAAAAAATGTATTTACGTCGTCGTCACATTGAACGTCTTATAAAATTTTATGTATTTTATGTTGACTTTGTGTGTGTGAATGTCGTAACGAAGTAAATCGTTACTTATTTTAATTTGCATCGTTGGAGTTTGCAATTCTATTAGGGTACGCGTGAGAGGGTTGACGCGAAGTAGAATTGTGGCGAGTAATTTGTGCGAATTGAGAAATAATTAAATAGAGTTTTGTCGATTATTGAGAATTACTTTTATTGGAGTTTATTTTAGTGTATAATTAAGGATGGTTTTAAAATAAATATTATTAAGTCGAGTGCAATGTTTGATTTCATTCTGGCAGATGATCGTTCAAAAGACGCTTACCATCGTATTAATCAACATCTAAATTATAATATTTGATTCAAATTGTTTAAACCAAATCCTATTAAGTTAAATAATAATGCTTTAAATGACTCATAATTTATAAATGAATGTTAATTTCAAGATTTTCCAAAATCCCTCAAAAACACTTAAGCCGTTTTTCGAGCGAACGGATCATTTATATATTAAGTTTCAAAATTTAAAGTCGCGGCACCGTGACGTTATCTTCTCAGCGGAATTCCCCTTTACAAATTAGTACTGGTTTTGCCTTCAGCGACAGCTCGTGAAATGAAGTTGCAAGTTTGGAAAGAATTCAGGGGCGCTAAATATGTAGTAACCAATTAAATGAGTAAAGTGTTAGGCAGAGATTTCGTGGACGTTGGTGATTTTAAATATTGTTTTGAAGAAAATTCAAAATTTAGAAGTGGCCGATTATTGTATCTTTTACCCTAGAAGCTTACCATGTAAGCTTACTGTAACTTCACATATGTAATAGGTTCACAGTAAGCTTACAATGATTTTACCGGGTCAGGTTACAGTCCCCGAATCATGTAAGCTTATCATGATTTTATCATGGTCCTACTATGTAAGCTTACTTTATGGTAGAGATTTTAAGTTTACAACTTCCTTAAAAATTATGGTGCGGCAATTTTTAAAAAAGCATTTAAAAGTTGCCGTTTTTATTGAGCAATAACTGTAGGTTAAGAAAATGTAAATTTCTACTGGTTTGTTCAACTTCTCTCATTCTTTTGAATTAGTGTTTTAGTATGGAGGGTCAATTGAGAGGAATAGATTTTGCTATCAATTTGTTTATCTTTTTTATTCGTTTTAATCGTCGTTTGAAATTTATTTCAGGTCAATTAAAAGAAATACAATTTTCCATTATTTTCTTCTTTATGGGGGAATTGGATCATTTTGGAAATTTATCCATTTAGAAGAATTAAACTTCTGAATTTTTTTAAGGAGACTTTCTGGTCAAAGATTTAAAAAAAATTAATTTTTCTTTTTCAGCATGAAAATGTCCCTTATTGTTAGTAACATAAAATAGAAATTTTTATACCCGAGTCTCAATTCACTGTTACACGTTACGAAAACTTTCAACGCGTTTTTCTCAAAAACACGTTTTTGGAAACAGGAAGATACTTTTCTCAAAATGAACTGAACCGATTTTAAAAAACCAAATACCTACCATCAGATTCTTTATCTAAACAACTAGACAATAAACCTCTAAAATTTTACGTTATTACTGGGGCAAATTGACCCAAAAACATCACTTTTTTAAATTTTTTTTGAAAAATGGATATAAAAAATTGTTTTTGAGGTTTGTTGTTTAGAAAAACCCCTGTGAAGAAAATCCCATTTGAATTTTTAATCAATTTATGTACAATAAATTGGTTGCCCAGAAACTGTCTCCTCGGATAAAAGGTACCTTTTGGAGGGCACCGCTTACATTTGCTAAAATGCACTAAAAATACTCAAAAAACATTTTTTTATTCTCTTCTTGTAATATGTAACAACATCGAAAAGGAATTTTTGCAATAGCTGTAACACATTTTTTACAATTAGAGTTTAAAAAAGTGTGTTTTTTCTTATTCTGCACCAGAAAGTCCCCTTAATTTTTCACCTTCTACAGGGTAAATAGGTTGGAGGACAAAAGTTCCAAAACCGAAGTTCCAATGAAAAAAAGTTTCAAAGATTTTAATTTCCAAAGGCCAAAATTTCCGTTCTTCAAAAGCGTCATCTAACCAATAATTTATTTGAAGGTAAAAAATCCGATTCTATTTTTATAAAAATCTTTTATACAACATAACTTTTCCAATATAAATTTTTTGAATCTTTAATGTTTTTTAAAATTTTTTTACTTTCTACACGCACACAGCACCGAAACTTTCCTAGAAATTTATTAAAGATTTACTTGTAAACTTCCAAGTATTAACTTGCAAATTTTAGTGAAAACTGTGTAAAGATTTAAATGTTCCACTTCAATAAATGGTTAGTGTGAAATTTTCAGGAAAGTTTGACGATAAACAGCGATAAACATTTATTGAAGTGGGACATTTAAATTTTTACACAATTTTCAATAAACTTTGCAAGTAAATATTTAATAAAATTTTAGGAAAGTTGTTTTTTAGTGCTGTGTGGGTATATATATATTTTGGAAATCATATTGGAACATTGGTATTTTGTCACTTTTTTATTTTTGGAACATTTGTCTTTTGGTACCTACATTTTTGTACATTTTTGTTTTGAACCTTCTGTATTTTGGAAATTTTTCATTTTGGAACATTTGGTTTGAAACTTTGGATTGGAAGATTTTTCTTCCAATCTGAAAAAAATGAAAGCAATCTGCGATATTTGAAGAATTTCAAGAAATATTGTTAAAACTTGAAAACTTTTTGAAAATTTTGCGTAGGCTGTGTATATATAAAGTAGGTAATAATGAAAATATTTATAAACATTTAAATAATATAAACAAACCATTTTTAAAAATAAATTATAATTTTTGTGCTTTACATTTTTATGATTATAATAATCAATGTAATAATTATTAATTACTACAGTAAATGTTACTCTTCCATTTATTATTTTGCAAATTAAAAAATTTTATATTTTCAAATATAAATATCAATTTTTGAATAATTTCAGATTTAAAATTTAAAAAAAAATTCTTATTAACTATTCCCTTTCGCAAGAATTAAATTATTTAAAAAAATTTATAATAAAATTAAAGAATTAAGTTATTTTTAAAACTTTTAATAAAACACTCTTTGGAAGTATTCAATTATTTTTATAAACAGTAAAATTCTTAGCAGGAATTCAATTATTTTCAAGATAATTTTAATAAAATTTCACAAAATTTTTAATAAAATTCTTGTTAAGAATTAAATTATTTTTTCAATAATTTTAATAACATTCTTTGGAAGAATTTGATTCTTTTTACAAATAATATATCATATTTTTTGGGAGAATTCAATTATTTTCAATAGAATATTAACTAAATATCCTCGAAAGAATCCCTGACGTTTCTACAATGTTTTTGTTACGATTTCAGTTTCAAAACGGCACTATAACTCCGGTGTAGTCACAAAAGTTTCAAAAGCAGCGAGGTTTTTCAGGGCAGACAATTTTTTTTGATTTATGATCAACACTCGTAAAATTAAAGGACAGCTACCTGTATTAGTTAAAAATACTTATTTTACAAATTAATTGTCTTTCGTGACAGAATAATCATTTATTATGAGAGTCGAAACATTTTATTACCTTTGGGTACTAAAACAAAATGTAATGAGAAATAATCATTTTTTGAAACGTCATACTTAGCCATAACTTTCGAAAAACGTCAAAGTTTCTCACGTTTTATCATTATTTGTGACTATATTTTTAGTGTTAGGGTACTATTTTAATTTTTCATTCACTGACAAATAAGTCGTTTATTTTGAGGAAATATTTACTATTTTCTAAAATAAGAAATTATTTAATATTACCTTAAGTCCAATAACCTTAAAGGTATTAGAACACTTCTGCGGAAGATAAGAGGTCCGAAGTATCATGCCATTTGAATTATTACTCAGTGATCTCTTAAAATAAAATGTTTGATATCTTCTTAAATAATGAACAAATTTTAACATGTTTACTGTCTTGCTGTGTACACTTATATAAAAACATTTGAATTTGTTACATTTGCTATTTGCTAAAACCGGAACCTATACAAGATAAACATGCACTGAAAGAATTTAAAGCAGAGTTCATAATGGTGGTTTCCACAACAACTTTGTGTACAGTGATTCCACAATAGGACCAAAGCGCATTGAAAATCGTAAGGGTGCGACCCCATGAGACTGAAAAGGGATAGGCAGATATGTTGTTCTTTTCACTCTCATCATTTTCTGCCTTCGGTCGACGTAGGGTACGGTCACACGACTTTGGGATATGGGCTTCCTAACCTCAAAATGTATGTAAATCTAAAGTCCAACGCACAATAGGGGGTGCTACCCTCTGTACCAAAAACATAAGTTCGAATGCTCATTATGCCGAATTTACAATTTAGAAATGACCAGATACGCGAATCCTCAATAACCTAAATTGTATATTGAATGAAATTCAAAAGTAGGGAATAATCATTTGATATATTCTGCATATGGAGAATATTATTTTAAACTAATTCTTTTTTTCCACAATTTGAAATTATTGCAATTTTTATTTTTGGAATTTCCACTTTACCTACATTTTAATAGATCGAAACGTAAAATATCAGAATTGACATTTAATTGAAATATGATGGAGAATAAATATATATTCACTGAATAAAAAGATTAAATAATTATTAAATGTTTGAATTTAATAAAAACATATTGTTCAAAAGTTACAGTGCGAATTGTACAGAATATATATTAATAAGAAATATAATTTGGCAGAATGTCGATTCGATCGATTTTATATTTGCAAGAAATTCAATTTGACAGAATATCAATTTATAAGAAACACGTTTTCGTAGAACTTTAACTTGTCAGAATTGTAATTTTGTAGAATATTAATATTGGCAAATCTAATTTTGGTAGAAATCTGCTTTATCAGAATGATCACATGTTCGAATCCTCAAAAGTTAGAATTCCATTTTTACCGAAAATGGATTCCACATAAATATTTGGCGCAAATTTTAAAATCGACCAATCAGAAATCAGAATTTTAAAATTTGCGCCAAATATTTATGTGGAATCCATTTTCGGTAAAAATGGAATTCTAACTTTTGAGGATTCGAACATGTGATCATTCTGATAAAGCAGATTTCTACCAAAATTAGATTTGCCAATATTAATATTCTACAAAATTACAATTCTGACAAGTTAAAGTTCTACGAAAACGTGTTTCTTATAAATTGATATTCTGTCAAATTGAATTTCTTGCAAATATAAAATCGATCGAATCGACATTCTGCCAAATTATATTTCTTATTAATATATATTCTGTACAATTCGCACTGTAACTTTTGAACAATATGTTTTTATTAAATTCAAACATTTAATAATTATTTAATCTTTTTATTCAGTGAATATATATTTATTCTCCATCATATTTCAATTAAATGTCAATTCTGATATTTTACGTTTCGATCTATTAAAATGTAGGTAAAGTGGAAATTCCAAAAATAAAAATTGCAATAATTTCAAATTGTGGAAAAAAAGAATTAGTTTAAAATAATATTCTCCATATGCAGAATATATCAAATGATTATTCCCTACTTTTGAATTTCATTCAATATACAATTTAGGTTATTGAGGATTCGCGTATCTGGTCATTTCTAAATTGTAAATTCGGCATAATGAGCATTCGAACTTATGTTTTTGGTACAGAGAGTAGCACCCCGCACAATAGGTTCGCGAACGAGACGCATGAGATAGGGTAAGTGCGTCAATTGCTGCGGGTGCTTCAGTTTCTGCGGCATTTTAATAATTTAAGTGAATACATTTGTTCAGGGCACAAATAATTTTGAAATTTTTTTTAAAAATTACTTAACGATGTAAGTTTTAAAATAGATATAGAAAGTATATACCAAAACTTAATATTTATGTATTTTATTTTAATTAAAAGTTGACGTGTTCAAGGTTTTATTTATTTTCATTGCTAACTTTGCTGGCGGTGCAAAAATACCTACATAAAAAAGGCTTTATTATTGTTTTTAGACTTAAAGTGGTTATTATTATGATGATTTTAGATAAAGAAAACCTTGTTTTAAAAGAAAAATTAAACTTTACTTTATTTTTGTCTGTTATTATATTTTATTTTTAAGAGTAGTAATTAACACAGAATTTGGGCTTGATTTAATTTCTGCGCCCTCAGAAAATCAACTAAGACTGGTTACAATAGACTATCTATTTTGAAAAAGAGCAAGAAAAAATTATGAAAATGAAAGAAAAAATGAAGATTATGGAGGAAAAACTAAAGAAAATTTAATAAATACATAAATTAATTAAGGAAGAATTCTGTTATTAAGTTTTAACTAAATGTTTCAAAAATGTGATAATTCAGAAATTATTTGTTACTTTTGTTAATATATGATATATATTTATTTTTAATAAATTTATATTCTATTCAATTAAACATTGATTAAAATCATTGTCCCATTTTGATTTCATAGTAGTTTGCGGTATTATACACATAAACACGAAATTATGCGCAGAAACTGACCCACAGGAATTAAATTCGCGCAGCAACTGATGCGCAGCAACTGACTCAAACGCGCAGAATTAAACGCATTGAATATTATTTTTAATTCATTAAATTTATTAAAATAAATTATATTTTAGAGATGTTATTTATTGTAAACATATCTTAATAACACAAACTACAAATTTAATAAGACATAAGTTCAATTTGATCAATATAAAAATTATATTTTATAGTTAAAAGACGTCTTGACCAAAATACCGCAGGAATTAGTACACTTACCCTATACAAGGACACAAATATATCTCTTTCATTTTCTAACTCATGCTTTGCGTTCGCGAACAACTTTCGCGAACCTATTGTGCTTAGGCCTTTACATATCCCGTAACCGTCTCCCAAACCCAACTCAGTTGTGCTTAGACCTTATTCCCCAAATGTCATTTTACCGAATTGCATTTATCCGAACTGTTATTTTAACGAAATGTCACTTTTGCGAAAAGTCATTTTTGCGAATTGTCATTTTTAGGAATTGCCATTTTTACGAATTGTTACTTTTGCAAAAAGTTATTTTTGCGAAATATCATTTTTACGAATTGTCATTTTTACGAAATGTCATTTTTGCGAAATATCATTTTTACGAATTGTCATTTTTACGAAATGTCATTTTTGCGAATCGCCATTTTTACGAATTGTCACTTTTGCGAAAATTGCTATAGTAAACTTGTATGCATAAAGATTTCCTATAGCAATTTTCGCAAAAATGACAATCATTATATTTATCATTATACTTACAATTTCACACAAAATTCCGCATCAACAACAGCTGTGACGTTGCTTACAACTTTTCAAAACAAAATTTCCCAATTCCCATCGAGAAATTTCAAAAATTAGAGTGCAGTCCCATGGTGGTAGAATAGTATAATAGTGGAACAGTTTTGAGCAATCAGATGACTGGATTTTTTAAGACTTATTTTGATTGGTCAAATCCATTACACTACTCCACTATTCTACCAGCATGGGATTGTACTCTTACAATTTTTTGGATATTCTCCATGAGCATAGCTAATCAAAATTAGAGAAACTAATATTAAGACGTGGAGGTAATCTGTGTAATTTTTTTAGGATTTTTTACAGTGACAGTACAATGATAAATTGAAATTCGAAGATTATAATCGAATTTCTACTTTCAAAGTGAATTTCATAATTATTTAAAGAAAAAACCTTTGTGAAATAAGTTAATTCTACTTTTACTAATTGTGTAAGTAATTTTCAATTATTTTTCCATGAAAGTGCAAACATAACCTCACTTTTTATATTTACTAATTTCATTTATTTTTATTTATGCGGGATTATTCATATAAATTATGAAATTTGAATTGTAATTAATTTACATAACTTATGCAATCATTTATTCTAGATTGATTGTATTATGGTTTGCGACAAATGTGAAAAGAAATTAGACATAAAGTAATCACACCAGATTCCTGGAAAGCAGGAGCCAGGAACGCAACCGAAAACGGTGGCCGTAAAATCCCTACACCTCGATATTCGAAATTTGCAGAATCTGCAGGCAAAAGGTTCATCAAATTGGTTCTCATTATTGCAGTCTTCCACGCAAAATTCTCAACAAAAACTACAATTCAAAATGGATTCCGAGGTAAAAATAAATTTTTTTAAAGTAGACTAATATTTTCAAAAAAAAGAAATAAAACATGGAGGTAATAATATCCAGTTCCAAGACAACTACTTGGCAAATATAAAAATATATTTCTGTGGCACCATTCTTGAAACTAACTAATATGGGAACGTTCATAAACTACGTAGCACTTCAAGGGGGAAAGGGGGGTCAAGCAATTGTCTACCATAAAGGCCTAAGCACAACTAATTCGCGAATGTCATTCGCGAACGCATTACGCAATGCATGGGTTAGAAAAGGACAGAGATATATATTTGTTTCCTTTTCTAACTCATGATTAACATTCGCGAACGACGTTCGCGAAGCAGTTGGCGTAGAGTCTACATTGGATGAACGCGAACGTTGTCGTGCTGACGTCACCCATTTGAATAGCATGGGTGACGTCATACGTTCGCGTACCATGGAATGTGTTCTCTACTAGAGAGGAAAAAATGGAGCTAAAACATGTAATTTCGTCTACGTGGGGGGGGGGGTAAAATTTCCAAAAAATTGGTCTACATAGTTTATGAACGTTACCTATGCATCTTATTTTGTAAGTCATTATTGTCGCTAATAATAATTTTAATTGTGCTAATATTAATTAAAATACATTAAATACAATAAAAACGTTTATAAATGAAAGAATTTACCCTATTATTTAGTAAATATATATACGTTTAAGAACTTAAAAATAAACTTAATGTCGAGTGTCATTCGAAATTTTTTGCAACACTAAAACAAGTAAACTTGCTACAATATTGCCAATATTACTGTAAGTTTAGGTGTATTGGAGAAACTGTTGAATGAAAGTTTCTAGAAGCTAAAATAAAAAAATGTGATTGTAAACTGTTGTTTAAAAGCTTTATTATTCATTGTTTCTCATCAAACTTACAAGAATGCGT